TTTTTTCTACTTTTAACTAAAGGAGTAACAGTATCGAGTTAGGAGATTATTTCCTTTTTTAGGTGTTTTGCTGACATTCGCTTTAAAGGGAATAGACCTGTTTGTTTGATGAATTTATAACAATTTATCGTTTTTAACTGAGTATCTTGCTTAGAAACATTATAAAATCAGGACCGGTGATCAATGACTTGGGTAACCTTAAAATCACATGGAACATACGTAATCGATCACATAGAATCTAGTGGTAATGTTTGTTTTAAAAGAAAAATACGAAACCTGGTGAAAATCGAGTTTTATGAGAATCAGGGTTTTTAGACTGGTTCTACCTAATATGAAAAAAGTCATAATTCACTCAAAAAACATTAGAGTGAATTTTAAAATAACTTTAGGATGTAACCTTTTAGACTGTCTAAAATTTACAAAACGCAATGATTTTCCCAAAGATTTCCTGAAAACTCTTTGGACAAAACACGGATTTTTGCTATTTTCGATCCGGTGAGTGCGCTTAGCTGGGGAAATTAACTATGGTCGAACATATTTTGAACGAACTGCGAGCACATTTTTTATATCCTTTTCTTTTAAACTGATATATCATCATACTCGCGAGAAATCATTTTTCAGCTTCCACAGGTACCGCAGACGACAATCAATTTGGTTTCTGAACGAAGTGGTCAACGGTCGACGCGCTTAGATATCTCACACAACATACTAATCCGCTGTTGACAATAACATTATAGACCTTTACTTCATCCTCGATCAAATATCATTTACACTCTCAGTTTTTAATGCTGGATCCGAAAAAACTACTTTCGAAAAGTTAGAAGAACGCAAAAGAAAATAATTTGAATGTTTTTGAAACTGAAGAATTTTTCTAAATTTGAGAACCTTCTAGTATTTGGAAGATTTTTCATTCAAACCTCAATTTTTTAAAACTCAAATGCAGATATTCTTGATCAGCTCGTCGACCTCTATCACCAACAGCAATGCTTAAATACGCCAGTGATGTAAAAATAAGCCAAAAATAAAATAGTGCTCAAACTTTGGATTACCGGTGCCTTACTAATAATGTTGGTTCAAAATCTGAAGAAAGACTGGAAACGAATGAAGTCTGATATGTATAAATCATCACTACTGGTACGAGCAAATTACTGCACTATTTTCGAGTAATAATAACAAATATGAACTTATTATCAGTTAGTCTATGTAAACCGATATGTTTATGTTCGGATGAAAAGAATTAAGAAGGTTTGCAATGCTGTCAACTAAAGAATCAGGTTTCTGGGTAAATTAAGACAATTTTGATAGGGGCTATAAGATGCACTTGATCGGATATGGTGGTCGGATTTATGTGGAAACATCTTTTAAATATTATATTTTGTTTTATTTCTGTGATATATTCAATCGATTTATATTATTATACTAAGCATTTTTACATTCCTCGTCACGATCTTAGCATCTATTTTCTCAGTTTTCCACTTATTAGGTTGAATTCTAATCGATCAATATTTGTCCAGTTTGATTCAGTTAATTGTGGTTCAGCCCTCTGTAATGTAACAGTTTTCTGATACAGCTGGTGTTGTGGTACAGTTCTTTGGTACAGTCATGTTCACTACTATATCGAACACTAGGCTCTTTTCCAGCGTTAAATAAAAACTGACCTAAGCTAAATCAGTGATCTACCAATTTAATATACACTAACTTGAATAGAATCGGTGATTTCGTCGCTATTTGCCATCTTAACGTTTCTTTTAAGGAGCAGATTAAAACATCAGAAATGTATTGAGTGTACGTATATGCCTGTTTTTTTATGTATTCTGTATGTTAGTAAAACTAAAATAATGCGTTCTTACGCAACAAGAAAAGTAAAACTGTTATTATTCCTTCTTTCCACTAATCATGATGAAATATTACTCAGACGTGTGTTTATTTAAACCAAAGATTCATTGAAGTTGTCATAATACTGACTAACTACACTGTTTATAAACATTCATCAAGTGTACAAAAATTATTTAATATTAGAAATATTAATTAGTCTGAACATGTTTTATAAACAATTTTAAGGTTCCCATTATCAGACATTTTATATAGTTTCAATACATTTTACAAACTAAAAGTATTCGGTGAGCAAGGGCGAGCACCAGTCCTCGCGAGTATCGATTCGTTTCCCGTGTATTTTAGTTCTTTGCTGCTTCTCTTGATGGTGCCTGCTCGTTCGTCTTTCTTAATTAATATTTTTCTTCTCTAAGGTGAGTATAAATGAAACGCTGATTTTCTTAGAATATATATATATATATATATATATTCAGATTAAAATCCAGTTGAGTTTAAAACTGAACTAGTTCAAATCGAAATTTTAATAAAAACTAGGTGAAATCAAAATTTAAATGTAAACTAGTTCATTTGAAAAGCAGTTTCAAAATGAACTAGTACATTTTAGAATTTCAATTTCACCTAGGTCTAATCAAAATTTAGATCTAAACTGATAAAGCAGACTAGGTGGATTTGAAACTCAACTGGATCAATAATGCATTTCAAAACGAACTAGTTGTGTTTCAAACTGAGCTAGACGGTATTAAAATGCAGTGCCGTTCAGTAAAGTTAACTTATATCCTTCTTGTAGAAGCCTCTTTTCTTTTAATACTGTGAAGTTTACAAAGCAAGAAAATAAAACGAGTAAATATATGTTTTTAGCAGTTTTTACATTTTGTTGCTTTTCCTCCACGACATTTTGTACAACATTTATGATTATTTTTTTACATGGACACCGTTTTGTATTACAGGCGTCAGCGCATTTACATGTATCTGTCGATTTAAAACTGGTATAAATTTACAAGCTTGTATAAAGGTTACCAGTGACAATAATTCAGTATTTAGGGCGCGTAGTGCAGAAATTGACCCTTGTAAGATCAAGAAAAGTAGCTGGTTCAAAAGTTTCTATTATATTATCAGTTTGTGTTGCTACTGTGTACAATGTTTTACCATTTTCATTATTACATCGTACTACTTTACACGACAATACTGTGGAGGAGCTGAAGATTTTGATACCGACTAGTTCAATTTGAAACACAACTAGTTCGTTTTGAAATGCATTATTGATCCAGTTGAGTTTCAAATCCACCTAGTCTGCTTTATCAGTTTAGATCAAAATTTCGATTTGAACTAGTTCAGTTTTAAACTCAACTGGATTTTAATCTGAACTCCGACATATATTTCGGAGTTCAGATTAAAATCGTGCTAGTTCAGATTGAAATTTTGATTTGAAGTAGAACAGACTTAGACTTAGACTGAGACATTTATTTGACAACAAAAAAGTAAAAAGAATCAATACAATAAACTAAAATCAAAAGAGGTTGTTGCAGGGGAAAAAAACAGAAAAAGCGCATACTGCCTTTATTAGACTGTGACCCTTCTAATTTCTACAAAGAAAATAAACAAAAAGAACGAGAGAAAGATAAAGAATTAAAGCTCTAAGAAGTTCTTTAGTCTGTGCTTGAACAAGCTTATGCTGTTAGCTGTAACCACGTGCTCTGGTAAGCCATTCCACTCAATTGCCGTTCTGTGAAAAAAGGAATACAGGGTGGTATATGTCTTGAACATATCAGCCATCCTAACTGCTCTAGAATGGTTTAGCCTGCCAAAATGCCTGTTGGTATTATACTGAATAAGACTGAGATCCGAAAGAATGGAATGATTGCGTAGAATCTTATAAAAATGAAGCAATCTGAAGTAATTACGTCTTTTATATAAATCTAGTAAATTTAATTTCTCTATTAATTTAGAAACAGACCCATCAAACTTTTTTAATATAATTCGCGCAGCCAATTTAACAATAGAGTCAATGCGAGAATTAACACAAAAGAATTTCAATCTGAACTAGCTGAGATTGAAACGGTTGCGAAGTCAACTAGATAAAATTAAAATTTTGATTTGAACTACTGTCTGTTTTAAAATACGATGCCAGTCTTATTTTTTTGAATAACTTTTTAATGACAAAAGCTAGCGACCTTCGGTTTTCGCCATTAGAAAGTATATATATCGGGCCGTTTTTTTATGTGAAAATAAAAAATTTTCAAAATGTTTTCCACTTATCTTATAAGTAATTTTTTTGGTGCTCAAAGTAGATACTGTTCACACGCTCAATGTCAAAAAGATTTACGTCAGTCTGTATTATTGATTCAGATTCAATAATAGACACCCGCTCAACATTACGCTAGCCAACGTTTGCCCCGAAGTAAGCAATCGGTCGAAGTCAGCCGCCACTTTCCGGATAAAGCGAAAGAAAGTAAAATAAAGACAGTCGAAAAATATATAATATTTTCTTATTCATTCATGTATTCTCCATTCTCCAATGGACAACTTTCTGTCCTGTATTTACTAAATTCAGTCGATGACTTATTGAGTGAAAATAACATTAAAGAGTATGAACAGTTATAATTCTATTTTTCTTGTGTCTTTTAGATAAAAATTGTCATATCTCTCACAGTTTATTTTTTACTTGATAATGAACGGTTAAAGTTGAAATATCGTGAATAGAATAAGAAATTATCTTTTTTTACCTGACTGCTATAATTCTCAAAATTTGTATAAAAAGGTAGAATAAATGGTTCATATCATTCATATCCGTGATTGATCATAAACGTTGGAAAAAATTTTGAAAAAGGTTTGCCTCGTTAGAGCTTCTTAAGTCATAAAACTTGCTACCAAGAAATAACGGGCCGCCACATTTGCTCTTGAACGGAAAAAAATGCGATTAGAATGCTGACTTAATTGATGGCTGACAACTAGTATGTTGGTTTTGTAAATGACGCTTAACGTGAAAAGATGTAGATGAAATGGTTTCCTGGTTTTCTCGAGTATCTCTTATATCATTCATTGTTATAATACCAACTTTAAAGAATGCGGGTTGGGCTATGGACCAATAACTGGATTGATTGGTAAATTTTTGATATATTCATATTATGCGGATGTAATATAGCAATAGAATGTGTGATCAATCTATATCAGCCAATAAATGCAAACTGAATCAAAGATGTTTTTATTGAAAAAGAAAGTTTCAACATCTTGTTGATCAATCAATAGCAAGAGTAGAACACAAAAAGACACTTATTTTATCTTCAGTGAAATAGAATTATGTAAGAATTACCGATAGGTCATCATCAAATACAATCGATGTGAAGCAGACAGTCACGACTTGAATTTTTTTAATACCCGATGAATAAAATAAATGGTGATGAGAACAGTCGCAAACATTTTTTGATAACCGATGCTCGTCTGGAATAGAAAAAGAATTAAACGTCGATTTTTAGTCAGTATATTAATTGGAAATACGTAGCCCCTTGTTGTTGGCTGCCATTTAAACGGCTGTTGAATCGACAGTTGCTTGAGTACTCGATAGTACCACCGTAATGGTGCAAGTACAAAATGAATTGTTTCGTGCTGGATTGATTTAACAATGTCTACGTAGCAAGATGCTGCTATTCCATTAACGATTAATGTGCCTTGGAATGTTTTTGGCGTATAGTAACCGATTTTGAAATCTCGACGAACACTTTTTACAGCCACTAGTTTAACTGAGTTCTGGGTGGTATGCACGTACAGCATATCGTTGTGTTTTACACGATCAGCTCTGATATATCGCTCTTTTTGCCCATGTACGATCATGTAATGATCACATGTTACACTCAACGATTCGTTCATAACGGTCTCAATCGTGCAAAACTCGGCTGAAAAATAAAAAGCAGAACAATGTCCTATGTCTTTTCCATTTTTTAATCTACTTTAAGCTCAACTTTAACTGGGAGAGAAAATTAAGTTTGTTGGTTCCGAATATTCTGATTAAAACATCTTAGAAATGTTTCAAAAGTCATGAGTCGGATTGTCTTAAATGGAAGTTTTCCGTGTAGAACTCACAAAAAACAATCTTAAATATTTCTATCACAGATGACTCAACCATACTACGACTCTCCGGTCTCGCTTTTTTTGTCAGCTGCCTGCAACTAGCTGGGTTTTGATGATTTTTGTAAAGAGTAATGCTTCTACTTGTGCGTAGTTGATGGACAAGCACAAACCTGTATCGGATGTTACTCTCCTAAGTGGTTGTCTAGCATTCTGGAAGCATGTATGCATATATAGGCGTCATTATAAATGAAATGTGCTAATGTTCCAGAAACTGAATTTGACTAAAAAAGAATACGCACTTGTAAGGTTTGGATCGAGATGCAGCATCATAATTATTTCATCTTCAACAATTCGATTTTGTTCATTTAATGAATAAACACGATCGCCAGACAAAAGATTTTTCACTTTTCTATATTCACCATTGACCAGTAAAACAGGCTCATCACCATGAAAACATCCGCCTATAATGGGTATATTCAAAACAATGTTATCATTAACTTGTTTTAAAGTAAGGAAGTTATTTTCGCTTCTCAGCTGTGGTTGATTCGAGGAACGGATGCGGTGAGTTTATTACACTGAAGGGGAAAAAGTGGACGGTTTTTCATGACTGCAGTTTAACACTTACCACAGGAACAGCCGGTCCAACCACAATTGCAGTTATTACCATTGCAATCATTACTACACGATCCACAATGCGATGAAGTGGTTATATCCGTCTCACAACCATCAGTTGGTGATCCATTACAATCGGCGTATCCAGAATTACAAGAATATTGACAGGTTCCAGCCGGACATGTTACAGATGCGTGTGAACGAGATGAACAAGTACTGCCGCAAGATCCACAGTTATTTGTAGTATATAGATCCACCTCACAACCGTCACTGACTGTGCCGTCACAATCATAATACTCAGAATCACACGTCGCTATACTACAACTGCCGCTAATACAGTGAACTAAATTGACATTTGCTAAATTGTTGCAGTTTATAGCACACGTTCCACACGTACTCGCTGATGTTTGTAAATTAGCTTCACAGCCGTTACTCGCAATGCCATCACAATCTCCGTAAGGGCTCAAGCATGATAGAACTTGGCATGTTCCGGTTGGGCATGTAGATACTGCATTGGGAAGACTGCAGATATTACCACAACTACCACAATTGACCACCGAGAAAATGTTTACTTCGCATCCTGTACTCGCTGTTAAATCGCAATCGGCATATCCAGTGTCACATGGTGAAATCGCACAAACTCCGCTCGTGCACACAGCAGTAGCATGGGGACAAGTACAATTGTGACCACAATAGCCACAATTCGACGTTGACGTTAGTACATCCACTTCGCATCCGTTGCTCGTTATATTATCACAATTAACATAGCCAACATTACATGATGCAATAACACAAGTGCCATTTACACATGCAGACGTGGCGTGTGCTAAATTACAATTGTTAGTACAATATCCACAATGAGCCGTTGTGATTAACAAATTTACTTCACACCCTGTGCTCGCATTACGATCGCAGTCATCGTACCCCGCGGAGCACGTCCAAATGTCACACATTCCGCTCAGACAAACAGGCACAGCATCGGGGAGATTACAGACATCTGAACAGTTACCACAATTGGCAGTCGTCGTTAAATCCGTTTCACACCCGTCACCAGGTAATAAATTGCAATCCCCAAATCCTACATCACAACTTGTGATCTGACATGATCCTGTCGAACATGTTGGCGTAGCATGAGCAGTGCTGCAGATAGTGCCAAATGAGCCACAATTGGACAAAGTATGATAATTCACTTCACAACCGTCGGCAGCTAGTAAATTATGGTCAACCCATCCTCCACTATTGCAAGTTGAGATGAGACATATCCCACTTACACATACAGGGACAGCATTCGGTAAACTGCAGAGAGTACAGTTTGTTCCACAAGTGGAGACAGACGTTATATCAGCTTCACACCCGTTGCTGGATACTGCATCACAGTTTCCATAACCGCTATAACATGACACGATTGTGCATATCCCAGTAGAACAGGAAGAGTTGGCATGAGCAAGATTACAAGAAACTCCGCAAGCCGCACAATCGGTCATTGTTCGAAGACTCGTTTCACACCCATCTACTGGTACTGAATTGCAGTCTCCATATCCGATACTACATGATGAAATGTTACACGATCCACTCGGACATGTGGGTGTAGCGTGAGTGAGGTTACAGACGCTGTTACACGCGCCGCAGCTAGAAACTTGATGTAGATTAACTTCGCAGCCATCTGATGACAATGAATTACAATCGGCATACCCACTGTTACATGATGCAATAATGCAACTGCCATTGGAGCATGCCGCGCTAGCATATCCGAGCGCACATACGGTTGTGCACGAGCCACAGTGAGTCGCTGTTATTTGTAAGTTTACTTCACATCCGTTAGACGGCATCAAGTCGCAGTCTCCAAAACCGGTATTGCAGGATAATATGTTGCA